AGTAGCTAATACAACAACAACAACAACAACAAAGCAAATTGAAAAACAAGAGAAAACAGCAAAAATTAATAATTATTATTAGACAAATATCGTAAGCAATACGTTGATAAATCTGCTGTGTTATATTCGGGGTTTTATTGTAGTTAGATATAGATAGATAAATCTAACATCTTCTCTGGCATTTTAGGTTTGTTCACTAAGCATTATCATTGCTTTTGTTATGTGGTTTGTTTGTTAGGCAAATATTTGAATTCAATCTAAATATACAAAGGAATCTTTTTATTGAATATCCCTTTAGAGCAACTCAATAGAAAAGGCAATCAGTGTTTTTTTTATAAAAAGGAATTAGGTAAAAGAGGCTCTATTGAGTTCCAATCAATAAATCTTATATAATTTTCAGAACCTAGCTAACGGACAAACTAGAAGAATTCAGATTCAGAAAGGAATCTAAAGATTTTACAAGGATCTAACATCTGCTTATTTGATTACAATTTCACATTATTCTTAACACAAAATTTGTAGTTCGAATTAAATTATAAAATCAATGGGATATACTATTTGGCTCTCAACTGATTGATCTGTTATCTATTGCTAGTCAGTCAATAAAAGGCTTTTATAGGGTATGCCATGCTTGAAAGACAGACGTCAAAAAATTTCAATTCTAGCTTTGTACATGCTTGATATTTATATGAATCTTTGCATATACATACATACATATATGTATTTCAACTTGATCATGATCTCGGTTAGAAGTCAATACTTATGCACTTGCAATCTTAGCCAAAGAGCACAGCTAGCCGTTAGCTGTAGCTGGATCTCAAGTGCTGGCCAGGCCAACGTGTGCATCGCAAGGGGGAAGAGTGGGGCAAGATCATTTGGCTACTTTGCTTGCCGTTGGCTGCCGACTGCTCTCTGTTGGCTGTTGTCTGCTGTCTGCTGTCTGTTGGCCATGTTTCTTTGCTTTTGATGAGTCCGACCGGGCACAGTCAACTGTGCGACTCAAGTGCTCAAGTGAGCAGCGCTGCCCAGAAGCCAGTTCAGATGAACTGCTTCGAATTCAGCCAAGAGACAGTGACAGTTGCTGTCAATGGACAAGGGACTGCCGTGGAGGGGACGGGGGCGCCGGCGGGTTTGAGCCACTTACAGACGATTGAGAGACAAAAGAAAAGTGCCTTAAAATGTTGACAAATATTTGCTGTGCATTGGCCGCAAAATTATTTGATCAAGACCACCGAAAAAATATATATGTATGTATATGTATATAGATATGGATATATATGCATGCAAGTGCGTGTGTATGCATATATGTATATGAAATATACAAGTAGATACAGTCAGAGAAAACATTGTTTAAATTTTGTATAGGAAATTAAATTGAATTTGAGCGACGTATAAAAAAATGTAAAAATACAATTTTAAAGCGCAATTAAAATTATTTATTTATTAATTTTAGGACAAATTTATGCATTTTTATAATACTCAAATATAATTTTTTTTATTTATTTTTTAATTACATTTTTGGTTATTTAGTTTTTGGTTTTTATTTGTTTATATTTACTTTTTCTACGTAAAATTCTTTTACTTTCATCCAACATAATGAAAGTACTTTTTGCTTCTCCTTTTATTTAGAACCATGTGTATTTCTCTCAGTGTACAGGTATACAAATATCATATGTGCACACTGAAGTAGCCAGAGAGAAACAGAGAGGGAGAGCGAGAGGGAGATCAAAAAGTGTTCAAAATTAAAAATGAAACTTGAAGACACGCGGCTAATGAGATTTCCTTGCGTCATTGCCTCATTCATTCATTCCGATTGCGATTTGTTTGTTTTATGTTTCTCTGTTGTTGTTGTTATATTATTAATATTCTTGTTGTTGTTGTTGCTGTTGCTGTTGCTGCTGTGCGTTGCGCAGTTGAACTTGTGTTTTAACATCTTGTGCCGCAACCAAAGACAATATTTGAGCAATCATCGAAAACACAGCGAACATTGTCTCTATTTTGGAAAAGGTCTCGCCGTACACACACAAACACACAAAGAAGCCACCCAGCATGTGAGAGAGTGAGATAGGGAGCGAGAGACAGAACAGCTACAGAGAGAGTTCATTCGGGCGGGGAGCCCCCTCTAGCGCGCTCGCTGCCCAAGCTCCAAAAACGCTTTCCATTTGGAACTGTCAGCGGCAGGCATTGAACAAAGCGACGCAGCAGCCACTCCAGCGTGGACAGGGGGCGAGAAAAAAGTTAATTTAATTTCAAGTGTGTGCAACAATTGTTGGGCTTATCCTTTAGCCAGTCACGCCCACTGCCCACCTAGCCCCTCTCTCTCTCAGTCTCACTCTCACTCTTAGAGCCTCTCTTTCTCTCTCTCTCTCTGTCTTGCTCTATTTCTGTGTGCATAGATATATTTTGGGATCTTTCAGCATATTGTTTTACAAGACAATTTGCTTACAATCTTTGACTTATCTTTGGGCATAAAGAAATCCCATTAAATAACTTCCGGGCGGTTTCAAGTCCTGCGGCCAGAATCTGCCAGCATGGCCACGAATTGTCTTGGCTTTGCTTTGCTTTGCCTTGGCTTTGCAACAAGCTGAAACTTTGAACTCTCATGTATTTCACTGTGTTTGTCGAGCCATGAAATTACATTTTGCTGATATACGTGGCGTGGGCTGCTGCTCCTGCTCCTGCTCCCCCTGCTCCTGCTGCTGCTGCTGCTGCTGCTGCTGTTGCGAGTGGTTGAGTGCGGGAAGCCATTTTCAGCTAGCACGTGGCCAGGTCTCGAGCTGGAAGCTACAAATTCAAGGAAACGTACATGATTCGCTTTGTGCCAAAGTTTCACACAGCACAAAGTTTTTGTGTTCATCAGAATTTCGAGATTTGCTGGTGTCATATGCAGATCTTTGATTTTATTTGTAATTGTAATCGAATTATAGCACATACACGCACACACATACATATATATAGGTAGGTGTATATATAGAGTATCAATATCCTGTTCGTCATTTGACACACGCCAAAAGCATTTCTTTGGAATTTGGCACAGACTTGGCAAATATCTAATCAAACAGGCAAGCCGGATGCTCCGATTTCAAACAATTGCCGTGATATGGCTCAAGGAACAATTCACACTCACACACAGAGAGACATACACACATATATTTATACAATATTGCGATTTCCATTTGACACCCGAACATAAATGGGCATCATTTAAGGACTCGTTAGCTGAGCAGATTATGCTGCTTCTGTTGCGTAATTTGAGCTGGTCACATTGTGCCCATAACAAGGTCATACAGTCCTTCAGGCAGCCAACGGGCCTGACTTTGGCTATGACACTCTGGCTCTCTGCTAATTCATATAATAACATCGCAACATATTGAGCCGTGGATGTATAATTTTTGTAATAACAATAAGAAGAACAGGCAACGCCTCTTGCTCAGCTCTGTGTACACTTGAAAAAATCAGAGGTATGTTATATTACAATATATATATAAAATAAAAATTTTAAAAAATATCTATAATTTACAAAAAAACTTTGAAATAAATGAATAATTTTAAAACAATTTGAATGATATACTGTCTATAGATGATAGAATTATACCCAAAGGAATAAACAATCATTAGTTTAAATATGTACAGAAAACTCCTCACATATTTAATGGAACGGGAAAGAAATTATAATAAAACAAAAATATATTCATATATAGATTAGGTAAGTACACTAATATATATTCTAATATTAAAATAACGGAGTCAAAATGAAATATTTACAGGTACTACTTCTATCTATATATGTATATGCTCGTACATACATCTATTTATATATTTGTTATCCTTTGTAAATTTTCTCTCCAATTTCATTTGTCATTTAATCTAATTTGTATTTTTTCTAAATGGCATCTATATACTATGTAATTTTGTTGAGTACCTTCCCAGCCATTGTTTTCGTTATTTTTTGTGCCAGCGAACACTGTTTCCGATTTCGATGAGTAGTTACCCCCATAGCTGCATAGTTGAGCAACCCGCCCAGTTATGTTATCTAACCCTCAGTTATGTGTGAAAGCAACGACAACAACTACAACTACAATTGCGTGGAAATAAACGCCCCTTTGACAGCTCGTTGAGGGCAACTGTTATTAGTTGAGCTCTCGAATCTGTCCATATGCCTGGGCTTGAGTCAGGGCGCGTGGTTCCCAGCCAAATATCGGGTTTATTATTACCTATATACCGCTCGCTCTCTCTTTCACTCTCTCCGTCTGAAGCCCTCTATGGTAATGACAACTTTTATAGACCCGCGGGCTGTATTTATGTAGTTTTTTCATTTTGTACGCAGCCAGCTGTGAATTTTATTTGATTTAATTAAAAAACTGCGTCCTCTGGCTTTATATAATGGCCGACAAATTGACTGACAAAAAGGGCGTCCGAATCGCAGTTGTTTCTTTGCCGGGAGTTTAATTGAAAGCAATTTTGACTGTATATTCAAATATATGAACAGGTCGAAGACAGATACGGAGCTGCTTAAGAACAGGTGTACAATCAGCATTGTTAACTTGTTTATAAAAATACTCCAATATCGCATACTGTTTTAATACTTTATTTGTATAATATAATATTCAGATTAAAATTGGGATTTAAAAAAATAAATACCGAATGCATATTTAAATTTTACCGCCAGTCAAAGGGCTGCATTGTCATCAAATGCAACAGCTTATCGACTATCGATAACACAATAAATACCATAAAAATACCTAAATGCAAGGTGACCAGTCGACGGCTGTTAAGTTAACAGAGACAAAACCTGTTTCGAAAATTCAAATAAAAGCATAAGTATTGTGATGTGTATATTTATTTAACACTTAATAAGGCTTCATCTCAAATGATAGGAATATAAAAATACATTTATTGCAAACACGCAAGCACTGTTTGCCACAAATTACGTTGAACAATATTTGTTTATAACAAACTATACGTAAATAGCCTACAATTCTTTAATGTTTTGTATGGAAATGAGCTTCGATGTGGATCATTTGCCAGAGGTAGCCGCATAGCACGCATTGCACACACGCACCGGCCGGCCGGGCTGACCCTGTGCGTTGAGCAAAGGCAGGGTATGCTCGGAGCAGGCCTTGCAGAAGATCTCGCCACAGCTGCGACAATGATGCTTCCGGCGCGTCAAATTGAACTCCCTGGTGCAGGCCGTGCAGTGAGTGGCAATGGAATCGGGCGCCCATATGCCCGGTGAGCTGACTGGATTCTCGGGCAGCGTCTGCTGCAACGACTGCGACGAGCCAGAGAGCAGCTGCTGCTGTTGCCGCAGCTGACGTCGCTCGTTGTCCTGAAACTCGGAGATCTTCAGCTTGCTAACGCTCAGCTGTATGCCCAGCTCCTCGAGCGTTGTCTGCGCCTCCGACCATTGGCCGCGCACCTTCTCCAAGTCCAGCTTCAGCTTCTCGTTCTTCTGCCTCTCCTCATCGAGCTCCTTCACGCACATCTGCAGCGTCGCTATCTTCTCCTTCAGCTTCAGCTCCTTCTCCTGCAACGACACGCGCCACTCCCGCTCAATGCGCGTCTCAGCCTCTGCCCGTGCCGCACGTTCCTCGCAAGCGCTCACCTGCGTGGACAGCGTCTGAGAGGTGTTCTTCAATATCTCGCCCAAGTTGCTCTTATCATTCGTCCATCTGCGGATGGCAAAATTCAAATTATTAATAGCGTTCAATTTAAGGGGCGTATGTTTACGGTCGAGAATGTATAGTACGAGGGCAGTTCTAGTTGTTGATCTTGTTTACTTTAATTCTTCAATATTTCTTTCTTCAAGTTTTAAAATCTATAAAATAAGTACCCTTATAATAGACTAATAATTATAATAGTCAACATCTACAGCCGATATAACAATATAAATACAGCCTAGTTCATGTTCAGCTCTTGATTATGCTTATCCCCGTTTCTTCCTATGCAACTATTCTCCCAGTTACTAACCTATCACATCAAATGGCTCTAAGAACATCATCGAGTTATGTTATGGAAAGCTGACTTATAAGACATATGAAGATTAGCATATCAATACTGTATTTTTAAATCCCGTGATCATTAACTCAACTCAAAAATATTCTTCTTTCTAAATATTGCCTAAAAATCATATAATCAACCCTTTACTAAACATTCTCCTCTCTAAGGCTGCTCTTCAATCAATTCAACTCTTTTCAAATCAACTATCATCTTATCAACAAGCTCAACTCAATCATATCTACAGCTCTTACTTTTTCTCTAGTTGCTCAATTGTGCTGGCCATATCTTCCTTTTGGCACTCTAGTTTGCTCATTAGCTCCGTTTTGTGGGTCAGCGAGGCATTGCAATCCTGTTGATAGAGACAAAGAAGTCGAGAATCTTTTGTACCAGTTCTTCTTCGTCATATGATACGATTATAGTTGGGTTAGTACGAAATGAAAGGCTTCAGTTAGGATAAGTTTTATTTCTTTTGTATATATGTATATATATGTATTAGCGTGTGTATGTGTGTTTTGTCGATTTGTATTTGTGTATATGTAGTCCCATTAACATGTATAGATACATACGTACATACAGATTTATATAATTACATTGTTATTTGACTAGATTGACTTGATTTTCAGTATATTTAAATTAAATTTAAAGCATTTAGAGAGTATTTATATGCATATCGTTTGAATATATTTGATATAATATATGTAATAAATCAGCTCTATACATCACGATGCAATTGGGAATACTTGGAATACTTAAGAGGGGGCTTGGGGCATTCGGCTAATAGCTCATAATTTGCAGAATCTTCAACAACTTGTTAGCACTATATATATTATAGGTTTATATATATCTATAATATATGACTTTGTAACTATATATATATAGTACTAGTACTAAAGGCAACATACATATTATATTTGTTCTAAAATATAAACATATTGTTAGGCCGTTGCACTTTGAGTTACAGTTAGGTTAACAGCTCTACTTATTTGTATATTTATATATTCTTGGGGACTTGTAGAGCTCAACATGTAGTACTTGAATGGTTTCTAGTTGTCCACCTGCCTAGCATACAGTAGATTGAATACAGTGACCGCTCGTTAAGTGGAACATATTAAAAGCATAGTAAAGCAGACAGAAAAGAAGAGTCTTAGCGTAAGATTTCAATCAGTCAATCAATCAATAAGTCTTAACCAAAAGTTGTGTATGTAAATTGTAATTAAGTTTTAGTAAATTGCTGAGTTTTTGCTTTTGACTCTTCCAGCTTATATAAAACATGGATTGTTAGTCGATCAATTAAAGCATTTTTATAATAAATAAAGATTTTTTATATGCCGTCAGTAAATCAATAAATCTGTCAAACTATTCATAAAAATATATTATTACTATGTATAGTAACGATGCAGAAATATATAAAAAGGCGCAGATCATTAGTCCATCACTCAGTCAAAGCATATGAATTACATATTATACATCACAACTTATTTTTATAATATTGCAGTTTAGAGGCAGAGAGGATTATCAATCCGAGCCAGCCTCAGTTAAGATCTTACGAAGTAGAACGAAACGAATTGCACTGTTTGGTTTAGCGAGCGATCACTGTGGTACGAGTATATTAAGTAAATGCCTTCTTAACAATTATATCAACTGTAGTTTGTCGCTCTCTAGGCGTCGCCTGGTCCTGTTGCCTCCTGTTCCCGGGACAAGGCGTAGTCGCTGCGTGAGCCATCGCCCCCGCCCTTGAAGTGTTGGGTGACAGCAGCCGCCGCCTCGGCCAGCTCATCGTTCAGGGATTTGGCAGAGGTTGGCGTCTTGGCTGTTGCCTGATCCGGCTGTGATTGCAGCGGTGCTGCACCCGCCGGCGACTTGCGGTAGTTGTTGGGATTGAAGGGCGGTATGCCGTCCATCTTGAGGTGCAGTCGCTTCATGGGCGGCCCGGTGTCCTGTTTGTGCTTCTTGGTGAGTGCCTCGAACTTCTGCAGATTCTGCTGGCGACGCGTGTTGGGCGATCGATCGCCGCCACAGCTGGCGCTCACCTGCTGCTGGTCGACGAGCTTGGACTCGTATTTCTTTTCTAGCGATTGTAAAATGTTACCAATTTGTGAGGCTTTCGTTTGCAAACGAGAGACCATCTCGCCCTTCTGTGTGAGTTCATCTTCACATTCCTAATTGAATTTCAAACGGGTTGGAGTACGGGATATTATCTGATTTGATTTCATTTGATTTGATTTGATTTGTGCGTCTTATCAACAGCCACATTACGTTTGGGGGAGTATGAATTGAATTACTGAATTTTTACAGTTTCAAACCGAAGAAAAATACAAAAACAAACGAATGACTGTCGACCAAATGGATTTTGCTTAATGAATGTGAGATGAATGAGGATGTTTCTTATGTGTACGTATGTATGTGTGTTTGTATCTAGTTGTGGAGATGGTCGCGAGAAAGAAGTTTGGAAACCCCTAAAGCTAGATAGGTTAACCCAAAAAGATCATAGATCACATCGAGTTAGAATAGAGTTTATCCATTGTATATCCAACATTGGACATCCCACATAAAATAATATATAAACCCATTTACATCATATCAAGTTAGAATAGAGTTACCCCAATCAAGTTTAAGTTCTTTTGAAGCAGTCAATGTGGACTATAAAAACTGATAGAACCAATTCGATTATCCCGCTTCAAGGTATACACATCTTTACTTTAGTTGATCCTCGTTCTCAATGATTAGATGACGTCCAGTGATAAATCCTCAAATTGCTGAAATAATATCCCTGCATATCATTTCCGGTTTTCATGTCCAGCTCTGCATTTACTTAAACTCTTCAACCCCAGTTTCATACTATGTAACTCCCTAAAAGTGCTTCCCGTGCTTTCTCACACGCGACCATCTCTAGCTGTGTCCATCGTCCGTCCTTGTCCATACGCACCTGCAGCTTGCGATACATCTCCAGATTGATCTGCTTAATGTCGTCCAGCTGACGACGCAGCGAGACAATCGTGTCCTGCTTCTCGTGAATGTCCTTCTCCAGCAGCTTCATGGCCATATCGGATTCCGCCTTGAGTGAGATCTGCAGATTGAGCTCCTTCTCCAGCTCGGCACAGCGCTTGCGCTCCTCCGTCAGCTGCGTGTTCAGGACATCTACTTTGTCCTTGTCCTTGTCTTTGTCCTTATCGCTGCCGCTGCCTGTGGAGCTGTTGTCCGACTGACTTAGGGCCGCCTGTTGGCTGGCCGACTGACGCATGGCCTGATTCTCGGCCTGCAGGGCGAGCAAACTGTTGCGCGCTATGGCCAGATCCTCCTTCATCAGGGCATTGGTGGTGGTCAGGGACTCCACCTTGGCCTGCAGGTTGCCCACAGTGGCGCTGTGAAAAGATGAACGCTTGAGAAACTTCTGGAGCAGAACTATTTGAGCCGAGGCCAACGCACTTCAAATGCCGATTGAGCTCCTCGATATAGTTCTTCTGGTCCAGCACGGCAATCATATTTCCCTGCCCGGCGGCATCTAGTTGAGCGACTGGCGCATTCGATTCCTCATTAGCCTCAGCGTTGCGGGAGCTGGAGCGCAGATATAGCGAGAAGTCAATGACGCCCTGTTGCGAATCGAGATCCTCCTCCTTGACGCACAGATTGCAATCGATGACGTTCAGGCCCACCAAGATGCCCATTATGACAACAATCTAAAAGGCAATGGGGTCAGCAGACAGAGCGGAATGCAACTGAGCGCAACCCACCTCGTCGCTCATCATCAGAGCGTGCGGCTCGTAGTATTCGTTCAGTGAGTCCTCGCGATGCTCGATCAGCGCCTGCAGGTAGTCGGATAGCTTCTTTTGCATCAGGGCAATGCGCAGCCAGGCCCTTGCCCGTCCTATGTGTGTGCGCACCGTGGGCAAGTCCCGAACACTGGCCGTAATATCCTGCGCCTCGGGGCAATAGTTTTCGACGCTTTGCAGCAGATCCCAGAGCTCTTTGCGCGGCCCCAACAGACCCTTCTTGGGTCGCAGGCCATGGCCCAGCACATGCTCGATGACAATAAAGAAATGCTGCAGCGGCAAATGGTCCGAGTCGAGCATGCGGCCATAGCGCAGAGACTGCTCCAGCAGCTCCTTCACCACCAGCTTGCAGATGTTGACCAAGTTGCTGCGCTCAATCTCGGCCGTGTCGCGTGCTGCAAGGGAAGAGTCCCAGAGAGAGAGAGAGAGAGTGGGGCTTTAGTGTGAGCTCTTTACGTTCCGGCGCTGATTGACTGGGCTACTGCTAGCTACACTCCGAAACGCTGTCACGTGCCTTCGCATTAAGTTTCAGAGGAAAAAAAAAACAATGTGAAAACTCAATAAAGAAATTATTATTATGAACATTTGTGTGCTGTTCTCGTTGCTGTTGCTCCTGGCGCCCGGCGGTTGTCCCATCTACAGCATCGATCTGTCCACGCTGGAGGTGCCGAATGACTTTCAGAACGAGCTGACGCTGCAATCGATGCTTAGCTCGGAGCTGCATCAGTACAGAAATAAGCTAAACACCAATGAGGACTTGGGCCAGGACAAGATGGGAAGGCTCAAGGACAATCCGTTTGACAAGAATGACCGAATGCGCAGCATTGAGGATCGCATCAGAGCCACGTATTATGCAGCCGCCTCGCCCCAGCAAACGGAGGCCGCTGCCGGCTTGGAGCCGGAGGAGCAAATGCAGCCACCGGCGACGCCGTCGTCGCTGCCTCTACAGCAGTGCGATAGCAACGTCGTCCAGAAATGTGAGAGTGGGCTGGAGCACTTTATGGGCAGCAATCTGTTTGGCGGGTATCCCAAGCATTGCTTTTCCACAGAGGACATAGCGCTGATATCGGCACGCCGGGACTTTGAGCTGCTGGTGCCCAAGTTCTATCCGAATACCCTGATCGCCGATAGCGTTGTCTACACCCTGATGAAGTACTTCAATACCGTCAACCACGTTCTCATGCAAGTGTCGGACATTGAATCGCGGCGCCTGCTGCAGCGCGCCTTCTACGATGCCTTGGGTGGATATCTGAGGTACTATATGGTGCCGGTGGCGCAGGTGTCCTACTATGCTGGCCGCCTCAAGCTGTGCACTGTGCAGCGTCTGGTGGCGCTCTACCGCGAGTGTCTGACGGTGCTCAATACCAACGGCAACGGCTGGAAGATGCCCGAGCAGGACATACTTGCCCGGCTAAAGAACGTTCACATTAAGCCCATTAAGCTCAACGATTCGCAGAGCACGGAGATGGACGCCTCCAACTGTGCTCTGCTGGATCATGGCTGTGCCAGCGATGATGCGCAGAACGAGATGATGATTGTGCCGTTGCCGCACCTTGAGGTGGAGGATAACAATGGCTACTTGAGCAACATCTTTTTGCCCTTCAAGCACAGACGCATTTACAATCTCCGCTCACCGGACAGCGCCTCCATCCTGGTCAAGTTCTACAAGACGGTAAACAATTGCTATCGATTCCAGGGCATGAGTGCGAAGGTCTACAATCAGAGGCTAAGGATTTGGATACGTGAGAATCTGCAGCTGCACTACCGGGATGAGTTGTTCTATCCGGGTCTAGGCGGTGTCCTGCAAGTCTATGAGGCATTGACCTGCCCTACCTCTGCTGAAGATCACTCCTCGCAGGAGGACGAGCAACTGCCGGACTTGGGCGACTTGAAGGACTATGAAACTCTGCCCGAAGAGGAGATGTCCGGCTCGGCGGACAAAAGCAAAAAGCCTAAGGGTAAAGGCAATAAGAATAGCAATGTCAAAAGCCAAAGCAAGCCAAAGAGCAAGCCGGCAAAGCGCAAACAGACTCGCATGCCGCGCCAGCATCAGAACGAAACCGGTGTGGATACGCAGTTTGTCAAGACGGACAAGAATCCACAGGGCGAGGAGTGCATCGATTGCGACGACGAGAGCTATGTGGGCTATGTGGCAGCCTTTCTGGCGCTGATCTTCCTGCTGCTTCTGTTGCTCATCTGCTGCTGCCTGCACAAGGGTCGAAGAAAGCCAGACGTTAAAAAGGATCCCAACCCGCCTGTTATCCTTAAAGAATCCATCGAAAAGCCTGTCGAACCCCCTCGCGAATCTCCACCCATTAAAAATAATTCCAAGCAGAGTACCTGGAGCTCAATTTTTAGGAGAGGCGCAAATAAAGTTGCTAAAAAGTCACTTATTATGACCACGACTCTTAAGGGATCCAATGTGTCTCCTGACATGAGTTTGGTGAGCAATCAACGGGGTCCAAGGAACCTAAACGACATGGAAAATCAAATGATGCGCGGAACAGACGAGGGTAAGTCAATATAATCTGCTTTATAAAATACATTTCAGATATCATAAGCAAATAATCTGAATATTATTTTATCTACACTTCAGGTAACTTCTATTGCAGTGATTCGTTTTCTTCGACATCTTCGTTAGTTTGTCAATTCCCAAGAAGATTTCTACCCATAAAGACGAATCGAGAGAAGCATGTCTTTCACGGCCAATCGGAAAAGAAACGCTCAAAAGCTGCCAGCAAACAGCCGAGCCAACATTTGCTGACAGCTCACGAACGAGATCGGCATCGGGACCGGAATCAGGAGCAGAAGGATGAGTTGCAAAATGATAAATCAAAAAAGCACAGCGGACAGAAACAGAAAAAGATGTCAGGTCAGCTGGGCTCGGAGGCCAAATTGGAGACAACAGACGAACGCCTTGTAAGCAAGTCTAAGCACAAAAGACAAAAGGGCGGGCTGGCCTACAGCCAAGAGAGAGACAGGGTTGGAGACATTGAGCCAGAGAACGTGAGAGAGAGCACACGAGAGAGGACAAAAGAGAAGGAAGTAAGTAGTAAGAAACCTAAAGAAAATTAAACTAATTTCTCGCGAAAGCAGGTACGACCCAGCGGTAGCAGAACGAGCCAAAGAAGAGAGACTGTGCATGAAAAAGAGCTGTACAGTGAAAGGAAAGCTTCAGGTAAGTGGCGAGAGACATTAAGGGAAAGCCAGAGCTGAAGTCATCCATTGCAGAGAACCTCTTCAACTATGAAGCCGAGCCAAGTACGACGGTCCAAGTATTGACGACGGGCAATAGACCCGAGGCGCAGACTGAAACTGCGGAAGTCAACTCTCAAACACTGTCTTCTTCTGTGGGCGAGGTAAGTACCGATCGTGAATTGGTTATGCTACATCTTACACACAATTTCTAAACAGTCATCCAAAAACGGTGCCAGCTGGGAAACGACCTACGACGATGACAGCAAGTAAAGAGCATTTGCCTGGCGCCTGGCGACTGTCGACCGATTTTCCTTTTCGCCAATGTGTTTCATTATTTTTCTACAAATATATTTACTTATTTAAGTTCAATGCACGTTCGAGTCGACGATGCCATGCTGCTAGCTACGAAACGAGATCCAAGATTGGGACTAGACGGTCGGCCAGCCAGTCAGCCCACTCGACGTGGCCCAGACAATAGCGAGTGCAAAGCAAGAGTGTAATATAATAATGCAAAAATGCATGCCAAATCAAGATTAGCTAGTGCTACGCTTATGCTTAGTGAGTTTACAGTGGGCAAAGTGTCAAAGTACAGTGATAACTGGATGACAAGAAATTAAGTCTAATCATCAGTTTTTAATACCCAATCGAAATTGAGGCACAGCCAACTCAACAAGCCAATGCTGCTATGGCTAAGCATTTAATTTTGCCGTTATAGTTTTTAGTCCAGTTACTTCTACTCTATAGCATAGACGTAGCAGTGAACAACTAGCATATGTTTAACATAACAGAAAACTTAACATAACAGCTACGCAACTACAAAGTTAACATAACAGAAACTATAACGCTTGCAAATGAACTCAGAGAAAAAGAGAGAGGGAGAGAGAGAGAGACAGAGTGAGTGTGTGTGTGTGTGTGAGATAGAGACGGCAGGAAGCAACCTACAGAGATGCGACCACTCAGCTAACGTGCCACCGATGAGGCCCACATTTTTGTGGTGCTGTTGCGGTGCGGTTGCAAGTGCATTTGAGCCGACAACGTCGCACAGACGACGACCGATTAGATTTTCAATTGCCATAATACCGTTATCCTCGAATCCTCCCGCGCTGCCCGTCGATAGGCCCGAAAAGCGTTTGCTGTTGCGCTGCCCGAATTGATGATGCTGCTGCTGCTGCGATTGCGTGCGATGTTGCACATTAACGGCACCACCAACACCATTCACACCACCATTACCACCGCCACCGCCAGCAGCTGATGCTGCAGTATTTATCAGAGCTGCGCCACCACCAACCGTCTTCTGTCCGTTGGCCACATCGATGTCCTGCAACTCCTTGAGGCACAGCCATTCCCCATCCACAGAGACGCGAAAATTGCACAGATATATGGTGTCCTGGACGCCACCGGCCAGCTCCTCATTAGTATTCGCATGCGATGCCTTGGGCAAGGTAATTGTGGTGCTGCTGTTGCTGTTGTTGCTGCTGCTGCTGCTGCTATTGTTGTTGTACGGCTGCAACGACGCTTGCTGGGGTGTTGCAGGTGCAGCTGCTGGTGCGGCTGCGGCTGCGACAGCCACTGCTGTTGTCTGCGGCGCTTGTGGGGTGGGATTCGAAGCCTTAACAGCCTTTGCCATCCCTGGCTTAGCGCTGGAGCTACCCGCAGTGTTGCTACTGCTGGTGGTTGCAGTTGCAGCTGCCTTGGACTTCGCACCGACTTGTGACAATTTTTTGGCTGCAACACCGGAGCCTGCTGTTGTTGTTGTTGTTGCTGCTGCGGCTGCTGCTGTTGTTGTTGATGTGGGCGTTTTAGTCGCAGCACCCTTCAAGGGTCGCGATGAGCTGGCGCTGGTCAGCGCAGCCTTGCCACGACTACCCATGCTGCTGTTGTTGTTATTGTTGTTGTTGTTGTTGGTTGTGGTGGTGGTGGTGGTGCCAAGCTTTGACTTCTTTGTCTCCTCGCCTAGTCCACGCATGGCGTTGCACTTGCTTCACAAGTGCCCATATAAAAATAGATAGCCAAAAATGAGCGCATTGTACAATACATGCAAAAAGCTTGCGGCACACAACATACGTGAAAAATTTGCTGAGTTCGGCTTGAGGGTTTTCAGCAGTTGTTTAGCACAGTTCGTTAACAAACACTTTATATATTTATTATTATATAAATATATACTTAAGAAAACGTAGTAAATAATAATAAAGTTTAGGTTGATATTCTTTTAAGACGCTGCTTTCAGTTATCCTGTTGTTGCGTTGACTAAGACTGAAGCGAAAGCTTCTATTGATTTGTCAACTGGGTATTAGCAGTGCAGCTTTGCAGGAGCTTTCGTTAGGGTGGTTCAAGGTTCAAACTTTGGCATATTTTCAAAATCATATCACGCGCGTCATAAACACGTAAGTACGGTGAACACTATCTTAAAACTAAACGCTATTTAATGATTTTATTTCAGTACGACATAAGTACGACATAAAATATTTTGTTTATAACGAATTTTTCTGTGGAAAAAGTGTTAAGGAATGCGCTAGGAAAAGCCTATTTATCAATGCTTTGAAAGCTTTCGCCGGATAACGGAAGATATTTGTTTGTGATAAGGGAAAACAGTTCTCTCCTGCTACTTTTCACTGTAGTATAATAAATAGACTCACCGGGCTTTTTGCGCTTTGGCTGCGCACTTGCTGTTGGTGTGCTTGAGACCGTAGTCACAGTTTGGGGCATCTCAGGGTACGTGGTGGTGCCATCAATAATCTCTGAGGCAGCCGCTGCAGCAGCGGCATTTGAGAATTGTGTGGATATCTGGTTAATAATATGGTTAGAGATGCTTTCGGTACGGCGGAATGTGTTACGCAGGCGACTCAATGAGGAGCTGGACACAGGCGTTGGCGTTGGCGTCGGTGGCGACGTTGATGTTGACGTTGAATCGTCGCTTTTTTCATGGCGCACCAATAAATCATCTGTACTCATTGCACAGCACACTATTTCATATGCCAACACACACACCAAGTAATTTTCCGCTAATTAAGAAGAACCGAGAGTGGTATTTTCGTTTTATTATTATTTATTGCACACTAAAAAAAAACATAAACAAAGCGCGACAGCCAAAGTGAAACAACTGCAACAGCTGTTGCATGCTACACCAATAGTGTGACCGCTTGCACCAAGAAATGTCAACTATCGCAGTTTTTGTTATCGATATATCGTGCTTATCTGCAAACAGCTGTGCTCTGCAGCCATGTTTGTTTTTTCGCACGGCCCAAAACAAAACAAAAGCACGTATCTTACCCGTACCTGTTTCATTTCAGCTGTAACAGTCGGCTTCGCATTAACGGGGCCTGATAACAATTCTCAGAAACTTCAACTCGATCGAAAAACCAATAAATCGTATATAAAGTGTGCCACATAACAAAGTAACTTTAAACTTGTAAGCATCTCGAATAAACGTCCCGTTACTCAGTCTCAGTGCAGATTAGTGGCCGGACAATAACAGCGTCATTCGAAGATCGATACTGCGCATTAAGCATATTTATCGCATTTACCTAGAATAAAGAACAACAGAGAAGTTCCGAAGATCAAATGTTAAGCATAAATTTCGTTTGTTAATGTAATACAGTGGAATAACGCAACTTCTGCGATAGTGTAAACTGCAATTAATAAAACAACCAAGCACGGTAAGGCGGAAGTGTAACTAACCTACACCCACAAATCATAAAAAATATACATACATAGTATACGGATACGTTAGTGTGTGTTGCAGTCCGAAGTTTCGATAACGTCAGAGCTGCGGCCATATTTGTTTATTTTTGCAAACAGCACTAAATTAATTGAGAATCTGTGCAGTGAGTGCCACTCAAATATGGCCGAATTGCTTTGTTGACCATAATCAAGGCGATAACACGCACAACAACTACAACAATCGTAACAGTAAGATTGATGTGTGATAAACAGGTTATTCGCCGCTATTGCGCCGTTAATACTCAAAAACCAGCCTGCAATAAAATATAATGTTTAAAGATTTTGTGAATAAATGTAAAATACTTCAAATTTCACAACTCGTTATGCATAAGCATTTGTATATATGTATGTACATACATGTACATATTTACATGTATCACTTTGTTAGTGTGTGTGTGAATGCACATATGATATGAATGCAAGAGAGCGCGCTAATCGACGCCATATTCCACTTTTGCTCTCAACGATGCCAACTCTCACTGCCTTGAACGCGCTGCATCGCTCTCACCGCCGCTCTGGCACAGCTGATCAACTCACGCGGTCTTGCTCTTATCATATCGTCACTGACTGCAACTGTTGTTTTTGTTTTTGCAAGCGCATACATATGTGTTTGCTTTTGTGTCTGTGTACATACTGAAGTGCTAATAACCTGTGATCAAATCATTTCTTCCGTTCGACATTATGACACATAGGCAATGAAAGCTTAGTACAGTATAACAGTTTTTGACGCCTTACGGTAAGTAGTTACAAGTTGACGTGCTTATGTAGGTATATATGTATGTATGTATATTAGTATTGTCACAGAGAAAAACAACGCTGCTTTATGTATATGTATGGATGTGTAATATTTATTAATAGAAAACTTGGTCGCTTACATATATTTTTTATGAAAGTAAGGATCATTTCGTCCAACTTATGATCTTTTGATCAATGGGTAAAATCTTATCAGCAGTACGTTCTCTCTTTTGTCTTGTAAAATGTTATCATTCAAAAAATTGGTTTCTTGATAGTCCTATCAGTCTACATATACATAAATTCAGCAGCTTTAGATCTCAATTTAGAAACATTGTAAATCATCTTAGGGTGTACTCTCATCGATAACCTGTTTATGCTTGTTAGTTTATAGTACATCTCGCTCTCTTATTGTCTGTGTCTGAATCTGTTTCTCTCTGGCATTTGTTCGCTGTCTCTGGCTCTCTTCCAACTACTATTTACAAGTTTAGTGCAGCGCGCAAAATAATCTGCGCCATTTAAAAGCCCAGTAAAGAAGAAAACAACAATAACAAGAACAAGTTGATTGTAATTGAATCATCTGTGTGACAGTGTCGACTCCATAGCTGAATATTGGAACCCCCGCTCTCTAAATAGAATTCTGTAACTCTGGCATAGTCAGCTGTTGGTGGGATATTTAAAGGCCCCGGAATCTCGCCTCAGGCATCAGAACGAGCCAAGTCGCTGGCGCGATAAGACGCGCGAATAAATAAAGCAAAAACGAAATTCTAAAGCTGGGAGCATAAATTTCCGCATTAGTCGCAAGTCAAGTGAGTGCCAGAGCGCAGGGTATTGTGTTTGAGGTGGAAGATAAACAAATACACAAACGAAAATATATACATACATGTGTATATAAATATATATTCGTATGTATATACAGATACACGGATGCCGCAAATCAAGTTCAAAGCACCGGCAAACGTAGCCGGCGGCGCGATATTTCGTCAATTTGTGTCGAGAGGCAAATCTACAAACACATACACATGCATACATACATATCTGAGGCTTTTGTCCTCCATATCTATAAAGATGTATATAGTTGTATGCATGTACATGGGTGTGAGTGAATTTCAATTTCTATAATTGAAATGTGTTCTTGTTTGTGCGTAATATAAAGTCTTTACTGTGATATCAAGCACTGTACTCCTACCTAGTATTCATTTCGTTTTTGGTTTACACTCGGGTATGTGCTACAGTTTTTGCCTTAGGCTATATAAAATACAAACCAACATCAGAACAGAATACAGGTCTTAACCAAGTTTGCCTTGCTCTTCGTGTTAGCGTGTTTGAACAAATGGCTCGATAGCATAACAAATATGGAAATATGAATTTCAACAGTCCCAGCTTCTTTCAAATGAGATACATACATACATATGTATGTAATGTAATGTTCTACTATTTTGCTCTACTTTAAATGCATATATAAAGTTTTATATATACATACATACCTTATATATCTATCTATATGTATACACGGAGTATTTCGTAGTTCCAGAAGAAATTTCAAATGATCGTAGGCATCGGCACTACGTATAGTATATATATACAACTGTCCGATCGGCACGTATGCATAGATACCTATGTATGTATATGTGTTCCACTAGACTGTGATGAATCAGATATAATCTATATTCATTGGCCAGTGCAGTGTACCAGTGCATATGTACATTGATAATCTATGTGGTCTGATACACATTCTCAGAATTATTCACGATAGACACTGTGGTTGCCTCGTAACAAAGGAACCCTTAAGTCTGGCCTTTCAGTTCTCTCTCTGGATATAATATTAATTGTTTATCTTTATATAGCGCTTGGTTATTCTTTGATAAGGGAACCGCAACCAATAGTTAGCCAACCATCAAAAACAAGTGCATTTATTTACCAACAAACAAAGTGCGTCGTCGTTGATTAGCATTTGATTCACAAGTAAATTAGGCATACGAATGATAGCAATCAACGACTAACAGTTACTCTTTAGTGTTGAAATATTGGGAAAATTCTGCTAATATAAATTTTATGAATAGTCATTTCATATGTCATTAATTTTTTACATATTATATACTTAGCCAAAATGATATCTTTAATATGAATACGATAAGAGTCAATTAAAAGGTAGTAGTTCAATATTTTTATGAGATCATCAAATCTTGCTTATTCTTGTCACATTGTCACATGTTGTTTAAGAAAACGACTATACCTCTATTCCAAAACTTTCTAATAGTATAGACTATAACAACTAGTAGACAATAAAAATACAGTTAACTACTTGACTTTGGCTGATAAGCAAAAACAAAACACCAACGAAGTCGTTGTCAGCGTCGCAGTCGCAGCTCCCGTCGCTGTCGACGTCGCTGCTAATGCTGTTGACATTGATGGCGCTGCTCGGCAGAGTTGCCAGTCGGCTGTTGTTGAATCGAAAGCGTTTAAACGTATTTGCTATGCCTAAATGCGGCATTGGTCAACGAATACGTGATATTTTCAAGTGTCCAGAGTATTCGGCGAACGGCGGGTGATCAATCAGACACAATTTGTACACGTTTCTGCAGCGATTTATCCACGGTTGACAACGCACTGACACTTGGAGACAGCTGCTGCTGCTGCTGCTGCTGCTACTGCTGCTCCTACGGCTAGGGCTGCGGCTCGGACACGGGCTTTGTGGTAGAATCACACATAAGTCGTCTATATCGAGTCTATATCTTCGACACGCTCGTATTGCCATTCTATCTTATCGCTTGAACAGTTTAAGCTGCATTGCGCACATCAAATCAAAATCGAAATCAAATATATTTATATACATATACATACATATAGAAGACTCAAGTGAAGTCAAAATGTGGGTCGTAAATCACCCACAGAGAGCTTTATCTGCGAACGCTCCCAAGCAGTAACGAACTCTTGCCCACATTTCGCCCATGTTCAGTCTGCTTCTGCTTGCCCGCGACTAAGTATTTCGGTACGGATTGTGTTTTCTCTCAAAGGGGTTTCAGCTAGGGACTCTGCTGACAGGGAGCTCGCTTATTATCGAGTGCTTTGTGTGCATTTGCACTCATACAGCTCGCATTCCTTGAGCCGAACGTGTTTGGTGTTGCCCATGGGGCAGGCATCGCATTACACGGCTTGAGGTTTATCTATGTGCAACAAAAACGTGATTTTCCATTAAATCAAATTAGTTTGCTTAATAATATAATTCTGATTCCACAATTATAAAGATCAAAGCTACAAATGTCAAGTTAATGTTTAATGTAATATTTTAATATATGATATATATGTGTTCTGCATAAATAATGAAAAATACATGCCAGCGTAGTCTGTAAACCAGTAAAAATTTTCAGTCTGGCTTCAAAGACTGTATAACACTCATTCGTCGTAACTTTACTATCAAACGTTGAAGATCAATCTTCCTTTTGTAAATAATCATAACCTAATGATAACCAAACCAACGATCATTCATATTCCAATAATCAATAGACATTAAAACGAATCTTAGAGCTCTAATGAATATCATTAAAAGTCATTTTCGACGGTCAAACTAAAGTCGTTGTGCTTTTTCCCATGACAATCCTTATGAATGTGCACAAAATCTTTCTTGAGCCGCCCGACTTATGGGCAGCTGTCACATTCTATACCCGGCTATCTGGCCTGGTCATATTTAAGCTGAGTGATACTTGAGTCTTACACCAGAAACGCTTATCGATGTGACGTCCATTGTGCGCTATCCATGGGGGGGATTTGTATATCAATCCAATATCAGTGAAGGAGCCAACGCCAAGAAATCGGTTGCTAGGCGAGCGTTCCGTTGACTCAACTTGACGTGTGATCCTGCTATCACAGTAATACTCCAAAATTCTCGTGTGAAATCATAAAAAAAAAAAATTCAACACCTAAACACAATGTTTATATAATCTTTTTAAAAAAAATTTAATATTTGAGCACATTTTTTGTTGGGCTTTGCAGCTAAGACGGCATACAATACGATTGGCTCAAGCATTGCAATTGGAGGACATGACAAGGCATTGACTGAGCCCAGAAAGTCATATACCAAAGACGGTGACCATCCGCCCCTAAGTAGAAGAGGAGAAACCGGACGCGCAGTCCACGTGATCAAATTAGCAAAATAAAATCCATCAAGATGAATGACAGCAGCAGCTTCTTTAACGAGCATTTTAGTATGATCTACTCGAGTCTGGTCAATCAATATTTGCCCGAATTTATCAAGAATCTGGAATATACACCCTGGGTCTTCTCACTGCTCGGCTCAATAGTGATTGGACTCAGCGGTATATTTCCCTTGCTTATAATACCCACAGACGAAAAAATGACTAAGGACGGTTACAAAGATCGTGAGTAGAAGCAATTAAGCAATATTTGCAAATATATTTATGTATATCTCTTATCACTTATAGCTGCTGAGTCAAAGTTTTTGCGTGTATTGCTTAGCTTTGCGGTGGGCGGACTTTTAGGTGATGTATTTCTGCACTTGTTGCCAGAGGCCTGGGAGGGCGATAACCAGAGTGAGTATTATCTCCGGGACTCCCTAGATGATCAGAAAATTGAATGTTATTAAAAATTATCTTGCCATAGATAACGACAGTCATCCATCACTGCGCTCCGGCTTGTGGGTGCTCTCCGGCATACTCATCTTTACCATTGTCGAGAAGATCTTCTCAGGCTACACGAACGCAGATGAGCAGAATCCGCAACCGAAATGCGTGGAGATTGCCAACTGTCTGCTCCGGCGTCATGGTGGCAAGCTGCCAGAGGGCGAGACCATGGATAGCTGCGGTGCCTGCGACATTGAGGATGTGGACAAAATGTGCCATTTTCGTGAACGCGAACTGAAGACCAAGGAGCCAAAGGAACAGCCCAAGAAAGTGGCCGGCTATTTAAATCTATTGGCCAATTCTATTGACAATTTCACACACGGCCTAGCGGTTGCTGGCTCCTTCCTGGTCTCCTTCAGGCACGGAGTGCTGGCTACCTTTGCCATACTGCGTCAGTATTCAAGTCGGCGTACCCAATCCACAGCATGGCCTAACCTGTTCTCTACTTGCAGTACATGAAATTCCACACGAGGTCGGCGATTTTGCCATATTGTTGCGCTCCGGCTTCAGTCGATGGGACGCGGCACGCGCACAGCTGCTGACAGCTGGCGCCGGCCTCTTGGGCGCCCTGGTGGCGATTGGCGGCTCGGGCGTCACCTCGGCAATGGGTAAGCAGCCGAGGACTTTGACTTGAGCTCAGCTAATGTTTGTTGATTTTATAGAGGCGCGCACATCCTGGATCATGCCGTTTACCGCTGGCGGTTTTCTGCACATTTCATTGGTTACAGTATTACCAGATCTCTTGAAGGAGGATGAGCGCAAGGAGTCTGTCAAACAGTTGCTGGCGCTGGTATTTGGCATTGCTTTGATGGCCCTCATGACCATGCTCTTCGAGCACTGAGCCCCGTTCTCCAATCAGCAGCAGACAAACAGCAGCAGCAGCATAGGCAACATTTAACTGTTGCTTCCAAAATTGTTTTGTTATTTTTCTTTAGGCCGCAACAAATCCAAAATTGTCATTGGCAGTACAAATTACATGGAATATTTGTTGTAGATTTCGTGATTTACGACATTGTGAGTCGCCCTGCTTGTGTTATGTAATTATAGCCAACTAATACGAATGATATTTGAACTATTGTTATTAATTACGTATATATATATAAATCTATTTTTTTACCACACTGTGTGAAGTCAGCTCGTAGAGAAGGAAGTGATGAAAAAAATATACCTTAAAAATATATCTCTCATTTAAATATGGATTGAAAATGTTTTTTATTTTCGTCTAACAATATAAACTATAGTCTTCCGTTTTATGGGCTAAAAAAAGGCGTTTATGACAACGAATAAATTTTCATTTGAAAATGTAAATGCAATAAAATCTATTCCAAAATGTATGCTACAACTTTGAAGCGATGTGTCGTCTGATAATCAATTTTTTTTTTATGATTATATGAGTAGCATGTTTATTGCTTTGAAAAGCCAAAAGCTTCTTGTTCCGAGTAGTTTCAGTAGTTAAAATAGAGCTTTTAAAAGCTAGGTGTATTGGCGCACATAAATTATATTCAATTTAATAACTTCTGAGATGTTCCTATAAAAATTTCTCAGGCATAACTTCAATTTTACTAATATTCAAATTTGTTAACTGATGAATTACTATTAAAACTGATCAGGCCTTAAATCCATAATCCTCATTCACGTTTTTAATCCACTAATAGTAATATTAAGTTACACCGAAATTAAATATTGTTCAAATACCTATAAATGTATAATCCGCTAAGCCAGTTTTAATCAAAATCATTCGAAATTAAGCAGTATTGAATTTTAAGATGAGAAATCCAGTGTTTCAGAATATTTTCTATTTAGTTACACAGCATCCAATATATTTTCAAAAGATGAAGCTGTCAAAATGGAAATTAAAAGAATCTAGGATGAACTTTTCTATAATACATCTAAGTATCTAATCTAAAGAACTAAATAGGAAATATCCTGTAGTAGCCCACGAATAATATCCGATAATATAAACTCGATTACCACGAATTCTACATTCCATTCACTTTTGTTCTTTTAATACCAATTAAATATTACAAACAGCAACTATTTAACATAGTTCTATACAGAACGCACGCACACACACGCACGCAGTCGATAGAGTAAAATGTATTCATGGATTCTTCTTATAAAAAAACAAGCCGTTTTATTTGTTTTCTGTTTGCAAATCAGTTGTTGGTTTGCATTCTTATCTAGTGCGTTTATTTCTTAGACTTGATCTTCTTAAGGTAGAATTCCAATTCCTTGCCTTCCAGAATGTAACCATCGGAGCGACCGCACTGGCCGGGGCGGGATGAAACGCAAGCTGTTTGATAAAAACAAATGAAATACATTAGTATGCGGAACACCAGGTCATATATAATCAAATAGGTAAGCAAAGCTCTCAGAGTAACTATGACAAGCATAAATCACGCCCAACTGGCTTGCGTCTCACTTAAAACAAGATTGACACAATAAAGTAGTTGGATCGCTAAGGATTTAACATCATCGAAAATTTCCTAATTATTAGCTGAAAATGTGGAAATACGTACCCAAGATACGACCAGATGTGAATTGATCCTCCAAAGCCTGCTCCACCTTGCCGTACTTTTGGCGCTCGAGGTACTTCTTCATGACCTTGTCGCTGCGCTTCTTTGTGAGAATATCGTTCTCATCTTCCTTTTGCACGTGCTTGGGATTACGTTTGCGACCCAGAGGCAGCACATAGTGTGCCTCGTACCATTGGCGGAATGGCGTCGCATCGATGACCACAATGCTGTTCTTCACCAACGTCTTGGTGCGCACCAGCTCGTTGTTGGAGGCATTGTAGACAACATCGGCGATACGGGTCTTGCGTGCAACACCCTCTGAGGCCCAGGCGAAATTGCCGGTTTCCAAACGCAGAGCGCGCAATTTGATGTTACCACCACGGGTGCGCACCTTGTGCACGCGGGATCCGCCAAGCTGGAAATAAATACGCAGAGTTGCCAGACATTACCAAGGTATACCAAATTTATGAAAATCATTATTTCTCTCTATAAATGCAATCAGTAGTCCGAACATAATGCTTGAATCATCAATGATAATGCATACGAACAAGTCGAGTGCGTTTACAGTTGACACGCGTTAACATCATTTTATTGCAAAATATAAAAACAACAATGGCGGCAGCAGGTATGAAACTCACCTTGGTATTGGCAGCGGGACGGCCCAACTCGAACTTACGCTTCTTGCGGAGCGACTTGCGCTTGCCACCAGTGGCGCGACGCTTGTGTGCACTATCACGGCTAATACCTTTAAGAATGCAAGAGTAAATGCACACACATCAAAATAAGATAATCATATCAGAGCCAGTTGAAATATCAAGAAAACCATAGCACGCGGTGCTGTTTGCTGGGCGGACTTTAAACGTGCAAATATATGCTCAAATTCATTATTTTTCAATAATACACATATGCATTGTCAACTGGCACGTAATTTGCGCACTTTTTTATTATTTTTAGGCATATCACAATTGATTTTCTTGATATTTTAACACACTTTGCACTAGCCGACGACTCACCCATGTTCGAGTAAAAAGCGAGAAAGAAAGGAAAAGACACGCACAACCTCGTGTCAAAAGATTTTTAGGTTATCGACTGACAGCGATGGGCAGCACTTTGGCAGAGTTGCATTTTCAGAGAATTACTGACCACTTGCCAAAGAAATAAATTGTGCGTATATCGATGCAATCGATAAAATATCTAATTTATCAATTGTCAATTCCACCACGTACGAACTACCAGTTCCGCACAAAACCACCAACAACACAGCAATTTTTGTTCGATACGTATACGTAATCGATATAACGATGAATTTCTGACATCCCTACTGTACATGAACTAGAAAAATTTAACCCAAGCCAACTCGGAACATCATAATTTGTTGATTTTGCGCGTACTAGTGAAATCAAAACAATCAGCAAATGTAATCATGGTAGGCCGAAACGCTAAAGCCCTGTCGCATTTTCACCGCCTTACCGAATATATTGTGCAATGCAAGCACTGCGATAAAACTCTCTCGTCTAAACACACATCCTCCAACTTGACGCGCCACCTAATCAGGAATCACAAATTATTGGCGCGAGCAATATTTGCCGGCGATGAGGGCAAAATGCTAGCAGAACTAAGAGAAGAGCTAAACGCACCAGATCCAGAGCCTGACGTACACATGGATGCCAATTTGGGTGAGCGGGAAACCAAAACTGCGGTACGCACCATCATTGATAACCAGAACCAGGCGCGCCAGGAGCAACATCAACAAACCGAACGCAACAAAGTCATTGGCAAAAACAATAAGCTGTGGGCGCACTTTGTGCGCATATCTGAGTTTATGGCCAAATGCAAGCACTGCAGCAAAACGCTCTCCTCGAAACATTCATCGTCTAATCTGATGCGTCACATTATCCGAAGGCATCACAATTTGTCTAAAAACCTGAGCTACTCGCAACACAGCCTGATATCGCCAAAGAAGGAGCTAATGCAACCGGAGGATCGCAGGCAGGGCGATCCATTGGAAAAGGTCGACTTTGACGATGTGGATAGCATTATTGAGAAGGTCACGGATCACATGGACGATGAGGTAAGGCATAAATAGAAAGTCATCAATGCACGGCAATTGCATTTTGTTTGAAGTTTACATCGGTCTCACTTCAGGAACCCTTCTACGAATACGTGGTGGACAACTCGGACGTCATGGTATCCCGCCACTGTGAGGATGATCCATCGAATATGGCTCATTCCATGGAGCATCCGGGCGATTCGAACTCAATGGGCGAAGCTACCACACAACTGGACGAAAAGCTGAAAGCGGAAACAATATATTACAATGAAATGGCCGAATTGGCAAGAGCTAAGCGGCGATTAATTGATCTGCAAACGAAGAAGCTTTTACTGGACATGAACGTTGTTGAAAGCAACTGAATTAGAGAGTTTGACGGGGCCCTTTGCACACAATTAATTTGTTATTTATGATTAAATAATTACGATAGATGGTCTATAAACAATTTTAAATACAAATACATTAAACTTAAAGATTAAAAGCTACGAAGTATTATGAAGCGTCAACAACTAGCTGACTTGGTGCTGTTGTTGTCCAGATTTGAGTTTTTCAATTTCTAGCCGCTCCTTGAGCACCTGTTGCGCCACTAGAAATTTTTGCATGCGATAGAAGCCAGCCTTCTCACTGAAATACATCGCTTGTTGGCGCAATAGATCCTCTTTTAGTTCACGCATAACTGGCGTGTCGTCTGCTTGAATAGTAGTCGTCACCAGCTGGGCATCGGTGCTATCGTTGCTGTAATCGGATGCAACATTTTCGCCCGACTGCACGGACAATGCATTCCCATAGCGAACACTTTCAACCGCAAAGTGCTCACCAATCTCTTCAGCATTCTGCAGATCTTCGTCAATCTCGATGAGATCATCATAAAGTGCATCCTCAGCAACGACATTTGATAGCTTCGCTTGCTCGCTGACTTCTCCCGACGGAGTAGTATTGTGATCATCAGCAACAACTTCCGTATAGAGAGTGGAAAAATCTTCATCCTCCTCTTCAGTGGGAGCGAAACTCTAAATAATAATAAATTACGATTAAGGTAAGATATAATCAATCAATACACTTTGCTGGCATACTTCAACCGGTTCCCCGCGCATTGCTGCACTATGAATCTTAATCATATGCTTGCTTATGACCTCTTCTAGATTTTCGGTGTGCACAAAATGTTCGTCGCACATTTGGCACTTCGAGACAGTGGGATCGCTGGTGGATTCGCAGAAGGCGAAGAACGAGTTATCATCGAAGTCAAGGCTTTCAGCTTTGACCGGTCCACTCGGCTGTTGTGAGTTCCAAGCAATATTGTGCATGCGATGCAAATGCCTTTGCAGGTTGCTTGTGCCCTGATACGATAGATTCTTAAGGCAAACGCGACAGCGTACTGCATCTTCTGAAATCCGTGTGATGTATCGCCAGACCTGGCTGCCGCTGATGCTTCTGCGCGGATTCTCGTTTGTGCTGGATGTGGCTGCTGCCTGCACCTTATCAGGCGCCTCGGTTTTCACCTGCGACGTTTCATCCATAATGCCGTGACGGCGTTGCAGATGCGTTATGACGTTGGCCGTGCCATGGAATCGCATGCGACGATCGCATATTCTGCATAAGACTGTATCGGCCGTCAGTTTCTCGCAGTGATTCCACACATAGCTGGAGCTTCTACGCTCTTTCCTCGTTGACTGCTCCATGGACCAGCGCATGTTGAGTGGCATTTGCTTAGCCTGCAAGCAGATAAGTTTCACCAAAATAATCCTTAGCTCTGATTTGCCATACTCACAACTTCCTCTAACTTTTCAGAGTGCATGCGTCTCAAATGTTTTGTTATGTTGGACGTATTTCCGCCGCCAAAATACAACACTTTTTTACAAATATGGCACAGAGCACGCTTCTCATCCAGTTTGGTGCAAAAGTTCCACACGAAACTGCGATTCGGCCGACCTTTCTTTACTGAATCCTGCTGATGATGCTTTGGGATGTGATACTGATTAATACATATGAGAAAAGTATCCTAATAGATTTTACTCACCTCTGCGAGGCCATGCACTGATTGCAAATGCCTACTTAGATTGGTTGTTTTGTTGGCAAAGGTTTCATTGCATACGTTACATCTAAACACATTCGAGTGGTCGGGCACTGGACTGAAGAACTTCGAAACGAAGCTCTGGCGTTTTTGCGTTGGTTGCAGGGGTATCGTGTTTTGGTTTGCCATTGTTTCATCGATTTCATGCTCGGCTATTGAATCACTGTCCTCTGACATTGTTTTACTTTCTTAGCGGTAAATTAACTGCAATGCTTATAATTGACACACAAATATTTACAATTTCTATTGCAATTTTCCCTCGTTAATAATCTAGCAGAGTTCAATAGGCTTGTTTTTTTTTAGTAAGTTCGATAACTAATGCGATATTTTGCTCGCTTATGAACCGATTCTTTGTTCATCTACAATATATGTCGGATATTAACGATATTGTACGAAATCGGCTTGCAATCGATAATAACAACTGCACATCTCTAACAGCAACAACGCACTTTTCAGTAGCATCGTTGAAAATTCTGTCGCAGCAATAAACGTAAAATGTCTAGTTTTTCCCCAAATCAATTGCGCCAGTGTGCGCGATTTACGGGAACTGCTTGCACACCCGAAAAGGAACAGAAATTGCGCGAGCAGATCCACAGCGAACTGGCAAAAATTAAGTACTGCAGCAATCCCACATATTCGTGCAGTTTGATGCGCCTTGATGGCTATGAATTTTGCATTCGCCACATTCTGCGCGATCCACGCGCCAACTACCGCCAGTGCACACATGTATATCCTAACGGACGCAAGTGCGCCAATGCAGTACCCAAACTGGATACCAAAAAGGAGCAAATACTTACCACGCTTTGCTTCGAACACAACCGCCAGGCGCAGCTACAAAAGACGCACTCATCAGTGGGCCGCTTACGTAGCCGCGTCGAGACCAATGAGACGCTTCTCAATAATCTATCGCATCACGTGAATGTAGAGGACGTAAAACCGGAACTGCCCAAACCAGAACCGGACGATGATGAAATTGATGTTGTATCGCCGCATGTGACGCCTTTTGGTGAGTGTTGTAAAAAGAATGGTATAATAAGTAAGAGTAGCCCCCTGAAAAGGCTTTGAGTTTTTGCTGCAGCCAAAGGCTGTGTGCCCTATGTGTGCAAAATTTCATCTATAATATTTGAATACAGTATATGTACGCTAATTATTGTGCAAATAAGATCTATGTTATAAAAATTATGATTTTTCATTTATCTTGCAGTGAATCAGGATCACACGAATAGTATACCACAAGTTGTGTCCAACGTGCGCAAACGGCGTCGTGTTTTGGATTATGCCTCTGATAGCTCAAGCAATGACGGAGATCCGCCATGCTTGAGAAATACAGCAAAGGACTTGGAGTTCTATGAATCTGATTATGAGAGCGTAGACTCTGAGGAGGATGATCCACTTAAGTAAGTCAGCATAGACTGGCTCAATTATTTGCATATTAAATTTATATCCATTTGTAGGCATGCGGGCGTTTACACACGTGCGGAGGCAGTGCGTCTGTCAGAGATGAAACTGACCAAACTGCAGGGCTTGTACCGCGGGCAGATAACACATTTACAGCACATCTTGAAGCAGCGTCGTCGTACCTATTTACAGGATATACGACGCGAGCGCGAGACATACTGTAATTTATCAATTATTAGCGCTTCAGCTATTAGGTGAACTACTTTTAACAATCATTATATTGCAGGCAGCATTCATGACCAGCTCAAGGACACGCCGCACGAACGCAAGCTGTATGAGCAATTAAAGGCGTTGAATGGCTATCATCGTCGACAGGGCGTGGAAGCGGTCCTCTACAAAAAGATGAAAGAGAAGCGATCGCGCGATACTGTCATCTCAACAAAATCCTCCAGTCAACCGAAGTGCGTATTCACTGAAGGCGGCGTCAAGTGTGGCGAGCGCACTTTGCCATGTTGCAAGCATTGCCGTAAGCATATACTCGAGGACAAACGTCAGGTTTTGTATCGTGCCTGTGGTGTAGAGCGTAGCGGTGTCGTCTGCCAAGAGCCCGTTGCAAGCATATCAGAGGACTCGACATGTGTGCTGCATTTGAATGTTCCGGCGAAGCGCCAGTATATACAAAAGGTGCGTTAATTTAGAGGCTGAGCCTGCAAATACCTACTACCAAACTACCAATACCACTACCAATAGCACTACTTAGAGCATTAGCACTAAACGCATAAGTTCTGCGCCTACATTTTTGTAAATACTAATTGCATAAACATACATACATACATAGACACTACTCAATTCATACCAACGTAAATCGTAAAAACAAACAGAATTGATGGCTAGAGATTGCTATCGTTTTGGTCGATCAGCAATCTTCATTAGCTAGTAGTTACAACATTTATACACATATACAACTACTATATACTATAGTATAGTCCTAGCTAGACATACATACGTATATACATATATGTAAGTATTTCGTAGCGTTTAATGAACAAAAAGCTTGTGATCAATTTTTGAATAAAATACCGACATCTCACCCCCCTCCCCATCCATAGTTTTATGAAGTGCCGAGCATACCGTCGATCGAAAGTATATTTGCGACTGGCTTCAGCGATGATACTGATAAAGGTGATAGTGAACAGATCAATGAGTCCATTGACTCCAGCACTCAGAATGATCTGTTGGAGTTGAATGATATATTTGACTTTGGTACCGTTGAAGATTTGACCAGTGCTATTGATGAGAATTACGACATGTTGCTCGATATGGACTGTGGTGTTCTGGGGCTGGGGCTCGAAGATCCATATATAACCAATGATAGCCTTATTTTAGAGAATCAAGATCAAAATTGCAATCAAGATGAAGTCACCTCAATCAATGCAGTCACCCCGATCGATGCTGTTTCCAATGAAAACTCCAATCAAAGTGCAATTCAATCTGATCAGAACTTTGAATTCAATGAAACCGTCAGTGATATGTTGGGCGTTCTCGAGGGTATCGAAAATATGCCTTGGTTCGATGCACTGCTCAACTAATTGAAATTAACTAAATAACTGCATGTACATTTCTAACATCATTCATTAACAATATTGAAATGTAACGCAAATTCTAATATTCGTTAATTCTCATTCACAGAAATGCGAATCTGAGACCGAGGACGAAGAGCCGTCTTCCACTGCAGCTAAACGAGAGATCAAGATTGAGGAAAAGGAGCCAGAGGCAAATAAGTCTCTTAATATAACCACAGCCCATGGCGACCACAATCCGAAATATAGGAATAAGAATAAATGAATGCAGAAAACACTGTAAAAATGGTCGGGCATATAGTCAAATTTCGCAACATAGATTTGTCTCTAGTTTACTATTGCTAAATGTTATATGTAATTAGTTTAAATACGCCTAAGAATTTTATGAAATATATCTACGTGTTTGTTAGTTGAAAATTAGTTTAAATTTTGTGCTAAAATATCGGTTTTCTGCGCATCTCTAGTTGACAGGGTGTAAATAGATGTACACCCTGTGCGTGCACATAGCCTGCATTAGCCGAATTAATTATTGTTTATAATGTTGGTGGCTTTGATTTTATTAAATAAAAGCTAACTCAAGAGTTATTCAGTTATATTTTATTGCAATTATGAGGCGCCACCTACAGCTGAGTATTAAACAGGTTTGAGAAATTGTCAAGATTTTGACTATGTTTCTTAACAGGCCCAAAATTTCAGCTAACTGAAAGTTACATCAATGGACAATTGTCTCCGTTGTCGGTGGCTGAGAAAGCGCTGGCAGAGTCCACTAACCTGAAGACGTTGAACGCTTTTGTGTACATTGCAGCCGAACAGGCGTTGCAGCAGGCCAAGGAGTCGGTTCGCCGGTATGCGGAGCAGAAGCCACTGAGCTTTTTGGATGGCGTTACCGTGGCTATTAAGGACAATTTTTGTACAAAGAATATACCGACAACTTGCGCTTCACGGTAAATACTTTAAAATTTCTGTTGAAATGGAAGATGCTAGTAACTTAAAAATCTTTTTACAGCATGCTAAAGGATTTTGTGCCGCCTTATGATGCGACGGTCTGCTCGCGTTTAAAAGAAGCCGGCGCCGTTTTATTGGGCAAGACGAACATGGATCAATTTGCTATGGGTGCCGGCACAGTGGACTCAATCTATGGGCCAACCAAGAACATATGGAGTGAGTCCTTTAGTGAGGATAATTGGCGCATAGCAGGCGGTAGCTCAGGCGGTTCCGCATCAGCTGTTGCTGCTGGTTTGTGTTATGCGTAAGTTATTTTGTTTACATTTTTTACCCAATCTAACCTCAAACTGCAGCAGATGTAAGAACAATTGATAAAACTTGGTATTTTAGCTTAGCTCACTTTTAAAAAGCAAAGACAGTCATTGACAAATGAGTTCGTGCCGAAATATGTTGGTTTATTTACGCACATGAAACGCGTTCCGCTGTGGCCAACAGCATTTTCCATTACATAACATTCGCTTACAAAACAAACTAAGGGTTAGTTCACTAATTGTTTAAATAATAATTTCTGTTTGGCCGAGATCCTCGTCCGATGGCAGCACAATCTTTTCGGGATCCACATAATTGGGGCTAATCAAATCGACGCCCGCTTCTTCGCGGCGACGCAGCTCCAAAAAGCCCTCGCGTTGAGCCCAGTCGCGCAACTTAGTATCGGGTAAATAGGACCAATAAAATGTGCCCCACACAAGGCACAATGTGACTGCAAAGAAGAATGTCGATTTTGTTGCTTTGCGATCCTCAGCCTCAGTTTTGTAATCGAAGCCGTAGCTTATCCAGTTCTTTGGGTTGGGATTAGCAAAGTCTTCGGTCGTAACGCTGGCTGGTGCTGCAACCGTTTCATCCTTCTTGGGTGATGTTTTAATGCTGCGGCACAGGCGTACCGCTGCTGCCTGATTGAGCGCTGCGGAACGCTGCAGTGCCACGGCACGGCTGGTTAGGCGAAAGAGCGCAGACATCGCTTCAGTACGCTACAAATTATTCGCAATTTCACGTAAATATTTTACTTTGCGTTCGCTGATGGCGCAGTGTGACCGTTTCACAGCTGTCAGCTGTGCAGGTGTCAAAAAATGGGGAAATCAATATATCGATAGCTGCATTGATTTACAGATCTAGATTTATCGATGACTATACGAAGTAAAAACGAATTTATTTCAAACAAATTTATTTCTACTCCTGTTGCAGTGCGATTGGCTCTGATACGGGCGGATCAACGCGCAATCCCGCCTCCTATTGTGGCGTTGTGGGCCTGAAGCCAACATACGGTCTTTGTTCACGCTACGGTCTCATACCACTTGTTAATTCAATGGACGTGCCCG